ACCACCACCACCACCACCACCCCACAGAAATCAACACTCACACACTTCATGCACCCAACTGCCACCTCCCACGCAAGTGGGAAGTCCGCATCTCGACTCGGTCCCCATGCGGCTTCGGCTGCACGGGTGACTTGAGTCCGAGACTATCCCGACACGTCAAGCGTCGTGGATAGGAAGGTTGCTGATTGACGCCCGCTCTCGGTTCCCGCAGTTCGTCGCGTTGTGTGTGTGTGTGTTCTGTGGAGTGGCGGACTGGTGGGCTGGGGACGGGCTGAAACTGCACCTTCCACGGCAGTCTCACGCAAGTGAGAGACACGCCGTTCAACCCCCGTTGTGTGAAATCCTGGTGTTGTGTGTATGGGGGGCCAGGTCGTGCCGTGGTGCGCGCTGTCACGGTCAGTCGACCATGACAGCCACCGCGCCCATTTCATACTCCAGTCTGCTGACCGGCTCGGACAGCGGTTGGGGTGTGGGAGTGGGAAGGGCGAGTGAGGTGGACGACTCAGCGCACTTCCTCCTCACTATAAACAATCTGACGCGCTTGAATCTATCACGGTGCGCTAAAAGCCGTGGCTTGGAAGGTTGCCAACTGACGGGGTAACTTGGACCTCCTCCTTGACTGGAGGCGGTCTGAGAGTCAGGCTGCAATGGCTCCTTTTTAATGTGGCCTTTATGGCACTCCCATCACAGTGTGGGATCCGAGCCAGGCGTTGGCGGCACGCCCAGGTGCGGCTTCGGCCGTGCCAGCCTCCAAATCTCTGTTGTGTTGGTTGAAATCCTGGTCATTTGTTGTGTGGACCAGGGGGTGTGGTGGAACGCCAAGGCGAGGATCCGTCCGAGCCATCTACCTGCGGCCTCCCTCGTCTCCGGTCTTCTTGACTCTGTCTTGACACCGGACTCGGGCGAGGGAGAAGGAGAGAGTGTAGGTAGATGCTACGCAAGTCTACCGGCACTATAAACCCCTGCGTAAGTCACCGTCCCTGCTCCCATTGCTGCTGCAACTGTGGGGCACACGGTGGACATAATCGAAACCAATGGTCGAACTCTCATTTGTCAGGCGGTTTACAAGCTCTGTGTGGTATTAATTCGTTCATTTGACAACCGGTTGCAGATAATATCGTGAGTTAATCAATGCTGTTTTCATGCTCTTGATAGCTGTCTTAGTTAATTTTTGTATATTATGCTAATTGTTTGGGTATCTACTCACCAGCCAGTTCAAGTAGTCGAGTTGTATGTCTATGTATGTAGTATTTAGCCTTGGTGTTCGTAGTTCACTTATACAAATTCTTCATCGTTTTTTACTGAATATCCAAAGCAATTATGAAGCGTAATTACTCTAGCTATCACCGAAGCAGCATATACAGGCGCATTAAGCGCCAAATGAAGGCATATTATGAGGCCACTGAAGAGCCTGAGCCTGAGGTTCCCTCAACGTCGACGGCAGTTGGCAATCAATCCCCCGAACGATAAATGCCTATACTGAATTCTGAAACTTCTGCTGGTAAATATTATGAGTGTGTAAACTAATAATGGGTGTAGAGTCCGTGGAAGACATGGACGACACAAACGCAGTTGAAGGCAAGTCCTTTCTGGAGGCTTTGAAAGAATACACCCTGGAAGGGCAAATGCCTTTGTCTAATACAAAGGAGTTCTTTAATATGTTACGGCATTTCCATCCGGAAGTACCTAAGGACCCACTTGGGCAAATACATGCGTCCACCGTCCTTGTCGGTCAAAGGCCTCCCGCACTACCCTTGCCGCTATGCACGAAGGACGCCTACGAAGACTTCGAAGCGAAGCTAAACCGTGATTTCGATTTTCGGGAAGAAGTGGTATGTAAATATGCAGCTTTATTTACTCTCCGTGAGTTATAGATGAGACAACTTGTTTCAGTTGGCGGACGTAACAACAAGGAGTTCGTGAGGAATATTCTCAGTAAATTGCTAGGACCACCCCTTTGTCGTGACTACTGTTGGAGTGGCTCAGTGGGAAAACAACCCTTTGTTGGTAGTCCTTTATATGCACTCCTGTGTGGCAAGTTTTCCTCATTTGTTAACAGTTCAGATGCCATTCGCCTGAACACTACCTTTGGTAATTGCGCCCACGAAATGGTTCGCAAGACTGTCATTGATTAGTTTCATGGATCGAGGGACCGGTATGGCAGCCGGGCTAAACGCCGGGAGGCAATTGGAGGGACTAGCGATGATACACGTCGTCCCGCACTGTCCCCATCTGAAGACACGATAATTACCATCAATTAAATTTACATATTTCAGGTCAAATATTCATACTGCTGCAGTGAACTTAATTAGTGTGAAAATTGTCATTTAAATTTTAAAGTATTACTTCCCTTCCATCGACCATGTGTTTTCCAAAGAATTGTGTTTCTTCAACTATAAGAACCAGCTGTCGATGCGGGGACTTCTGGAACGTACAACTGAATGGCATAACATATGTTGAAGTCCATGTATATACTGGCACTGACATTTATTATGATTGTACATATTTTCCTATTCCTTTTTCGTTTATACAATAAATAACTAATTCACATGAATTTGCATCGCGTGTATTTGATATTGGCTGCGGATTAGTGGGCACATGTATGGCGGGGTCACTGTAAGTACTATATAATACCGTAGTACTCTACGTACGCAGGGTGGGTTCCGACGTGTAACATGTGGGAACAGTGAGGCACTGCGCCTCAGGGGACTCGGAATACAGGACGATATTTTAAAGTGGTGCCAAAAGTTGGCGGGGATGTGGCGTCCCCTGCGCATTTTTTTCACTGGCGGTGCCAGGCGGGACTATCGCGTTGAATGCCCTGCCACAGCCCCCCCCCACAATCCCGCTTAGCCTCCTCATGGCCCCCTCTAGCTCCGCCATTATTGAGGGGGTCAGGCGGGGCTGGTGCTGGCAGGGATAATAGTAATAGTAATGATAATTGTTTATTCAAGACCCGTAGGGGTCCTATCATAGCAAGTAAGAATAACTATTACATTAATTTAAGAATTTTATGTGAGGTAAACTGAATTTACACAGTACTCAATTCATAGTTATTGAATAAGTAGCATGTCACGAAGAATTCTGCGCGGGCAGTGAAAAAAAACTCCTAACATAAACAGAATGAGTATGATTGGATACGAACTATAAGAGAAAAAAACTCTCGCTCCCTAATATATAAACAGCAGGCACGACCGGCCTGCATATGGCATTTTATAACGGATTTCATGAATGGGGTACGTAGGCGGGTCAGGCGCGACTGGCCTGTGTGTGGCCTTAAGTAGAAGTTTCGAAACGGGCATCATCAAGGCAGAACTCATATGCCGGATGAGGCCATTCATGTCAAAGTGACGAATTGAAAACCAGTCTCGAGGCGATAGGTACCCAGATGGGATCGGTTACATTCAGCCGGATCCATCCAGGTGGGGCAAGAAAGATGCGACCAGACTACTAGCATATGGCAAATACAGAATGCTTCGTCAAGAGCGTCGACGGAGCGCATCCTGTGAGGGCACAATGCATGAACTGAAAAATCAAAAAATTAACATTTCTGGTGAGGGATCTTAGGAAGTGATACGACGCACAAACGAAGGAAATGTGAGCATATACGGAAAGTTAATGGCAGCGTCATAATTTCCAGGTGGCCCTTTCTCAGTGTCATAGAGAATGTTGTCCGGGAAGGATGAGGACAGTAAAAGTTTGATCAAGTCAGTATTCAGATAAAGGCGTAGCCTTCTCTCAAAAGTGTGTAGATTAGCTGAAGATCTTATATTTATTGGAAGGTTATTCCAGAGGAAAGTATATCTGAAAGCGAGAAAGAGAGAGCGCCTAGAGGTGGAGGAAGCTGGAGGAGGTATAATCAAGGAAGAATTACGAAGATTTTATGGGCTACTTCTAGGGGTAAGTGCTGAAATGCGAGGAAGAGTTGAACTATTATTAATGCGAAAGAGGAGGCAGAAGCCTGGTTCCAGTCTTCCAACCCATTAAAAGTTTAGGTTAATTTTCTGGCATTTATTTTAGTAGGAGATATTTGAATGTTCCGTGTCTAACAGTTTTCTAGCAAAACGTTTTTGGATATTTTCAAATTTTAAACGACTAGCCTCGTTCATCAAACCAAACAATGGGCAACAATACTCGAGAATAAGAAGTACAAACATACGATAGAGCCTTAATCTAATTTCAGGAAGATAGAAATTGTAAGAAATAAAGCCGCATATCTCGGCAGCTTTGGCTGCGATTCGGCCAGCGTGTGGTGAGAGATTAAGATTCTCAGTATAGCTCAAAAATTAATCCTTGATGGTGGTAAATTGAGTCATAGGTGTGCCTTGAAAGACCACTAGTTGAGGTAGACTCTCTGGTCCAAAACATATATAGCGACATTTAGACACAGAGAATTCCATTAGTCATTTTGAGCTCCAAGCTGAGAGAGCAAGCAAGTCAGCATGGATTTGCTCCAGGCAATGAAGGCTCGTAGATTTATTGAAAGAATATACACATTTGAGATCATAGGCATAAATAAATGATTGAGAGTATTTAACTGCCGCCGATATATCATTTATGTAAAGCAGGAACAAAAGAGGACCTAAAACGGCGCCTTGCAGGACACCACTTACAATAGGGCTTTCACTGGAAAGTGAAAATCCCACCAAAACCTTTTGCTTACGATTAGGCGGGTATAACTTGATTAAGTCTATTAGGGGACGGCGAATTCCCATAGCTTCTAATTTAACCAAGAATCTTGTAAGTGGCACTTTAAGGAAGGCTTTACTAAGATCAAAATATAT